CAGAAAACAGCTCATGTCTCACAGCAAGCTCTAGAAAATGGATTATAAACCTCTTCTACATAAACACATTTCTATCACAGACACTTCTGACCCTTATAAAATCAAAAGCTCATTTAATTCTGCCCATGATAGCACATGGAAAACATTGCAAACCAGAAAGAAAAACTCAAATGCCTTTTTTAAAAAAATTAATCAAGACTCATATGGCTTGAAAGAGAACACTATGAATTCTCATTCCTTGATAATTAAACGCGATAGCCAAAGAGGCAATGAATACTGCTGATGAGGTCTTAATGATTACAGAAGAGCATCTAATATCCACAAACCGAATCTTAGGAAAAGCAACATACTGACTTCTACTTTAATTTTAAATGTGATAAGTTTAGGACAGGAAAAAGTAAGACCAGTTTATACAAAGATGTAGAAAAGGAAAAAACAGGCCGGGTGGTGGTGGCGCATGCCTTTAATCCCAGCACTCGGGAGGCAGAGGCAGGCGGATCTCTGTGAGTTCGAGGCCGGGCTGGACCGACAGCCTCCAAAACAATACAGAGAAACCCTGTCTCGTAAAAACAAAAAGAAAAAAAAAAAGAAAAGGAAAAAACAAATTGTTAACAAAACAAAATGTTAAAAACAAAATATATAATTTCATGAAGCATCTACACATGACAGATCCCTAAGAAATTTTTACCAAAAACTAAGGATTATCACACACCGGCATATAACGACTCAATTCTCAGCAGAGTGGTGCTCCAATGGCCTCTTTTCCTGGGAACAATGCTTTCTTCTTCGATTGGTTTCTATAAACATAAGACAGAATTACCTGGTCCTCTTCTGAGCATTCAGATGAAATATGAGGAAAGACGGCTGCATTCCTAAAATGATGACCATTGGATTCATTTTTATGGGTCAATTTTTCAGCAGTGAATATATTTCCTGATGAATCAGTTCCATGTGATGTCCCTTTGGCCATAATATCCTCTGAAATGGTAAGTCATGAATTATTACAAACACCCACTGTTGTCGGGTTCTTTTGTGTTTCTTACTGAAAACGTTTCTTATCCCTCCGCCCCCAAAAAAGAATACTTCTCAAAGAACCATATAAGAAGTTTCTTGAAGCCTTAACTAGTCTTAAATATAGATAGCACTCCTTCAACAAGTGATGAATATTGTCCACTATATACCCAGCACTATTTTTCATCATTGTTAAAAAGTTCAAGAATGGGAGACTGAAGGCGAGGATATAATTATATCACTAGACCCAAGATAAACGATAAATGGATTCTTATTGGGAAACAATTACACAGAAAAATACATAGAACCACTGGAGCATTTCCCTGCTCTTCCTACCAAATCTGCTGACCCATCAGAAAGAGTGTGCCAAGCAAAGCCACACCTCAAGCTCCTCTCTTTCTGCTTCCATCTGCCTGAAACCACACCCAAAGGGGTGTGACCACCATTACAGCTCCACAGACCAGATGCCTACAGGAGACGCTGTTTATCTCATTTTCCCTTAGGTTTGGATTATTTTTTCTTCATCTGGAAGCAATGTATGTCTACTTTAAAAAACAAAAAACACTAGGAAAAGAGCAAAATATGAAAATCATCCATTAAATCCTATGCAACATAATAACCACAATAAAATGTTTTGAGTGATTATCTGTTCATCTCTTGTGTATCCATGTATTTCTTATATTTTGGGTTGTGAGCCTAACCTTTAACAGCTGAACCATCTCTCCAGTCCATATCCACATATTTCTAAAACTCAAAATAGAATACATAAATAGTTAATTTAGTTTTCCAGTAGTATTTTTATGTTATTGAGAATTATTCTACGTAATTTTAAGTTATAGAGAACTCCATTATCTAAATATAAGATAGTTCACTGAAACAATGTCCATTCTCCTTTTATTATTTTTTTTCTTGCCCAATCAGTTCATCTGCTCTCCCTTCTCTCCTCCCAGGTTCTCTCCCCAAGTTCACTTCTCCCCGCCCCCTCTACATCATCCAGTCCTCCTCCTTTATCTTCAGAAAAGACAGGCCTTCCATGATGTCAGTCAAACATGAATATCAAGTTATACCTCATCTCCCATTAAGACTGTCAAGACAACCCAGTAGAAGGAAAGAGTTCCAAAAGCAGGTAACAGAGCCTGCTCCCATAGTTAGTGGTCCCACATGAAGACCAAATTACAACTGCAATATATGTGCAGAGGACCTAGGCCAGTACCAGGCAGAACTGGTTTTCTGTGAGCCCCATGAGCCTGGGTTAGTTGATTCTGTGGGTTGTCTTAGTGTCCTTGACCCTTCTAGCTCCCATAATCTTTCACCCTTTTCTACGGGATTCCCTGAGCTCTGCTTAATGTTTAGTTGTGGGTCTCCGCATCTGTTTCCATCGGTTGCTAGGTGAAGCCTCTCTGGAGACAACTGAGCTACACATCAATCTAAGAGTACAGCAGATTATCTATAGGGATTATTTCATTGACTTCTTCTTCTTCTTCTTCTTTCTCTTTCCTTTTCTTTTCTTCTTTTTTGCTAGTAATGAATGGCTCTATCTGAGATCTCTGGAATGGCTCTATCTTAGGTTCTAGCCCACTAAGCAGTGTTGGGGGGTGGACTCCCACCCATGGTATGGGTCTCAAGCTGGACCAGTCTCAATGTCTATTCTCTTTTTTTTTGTTGTTGTTGTTTTGGTTTGGTTTTTTATTTTTGGAGACAGGGTTTCTCTGTGGCTTTGGAGGTTGTCCTGAAACTTGCCTCAATGTTTATTCTTAACTATTTATAATTATAAGCAATACCTTTTGCTGGGTGGTGGTGGTGGTGGTGGTGGTGCACACCTTTAATCCCAGTACTCAGGAGGCAGTAGCAGGCAAATCTCTCAGTTTGAGACCAGCCTGATCTATAAAGCAAGTTCCAGGAGAGCCAGGGCTACACAGGGAAACCCTGTCTCAAAAAACCAAATTATGTGTGTGCATATGTGTGTGTGTGTGTGTGTATGTGTGTGTGTGAATGTATGTATGTATATACATATATATATAATTATATGCAATACCTCTGTATTAAATCCATGCACCATTATAGTATTTCCTTAGAAGAAGAAAGAAAAACCCAAGATTAATTCAAAATTAAAGAGACTATGAAAATTCTATTTTGACACCATCAACAGAAATAAGGAAGAACAAAGTGAAATAGGTCTAGAAATAATAGATCTAGGGATGGCTTAACCATTAAAGGCTAGGCTCACAACCAAAATATAAGAAATAGTAAATCTAGATCTTGCATGTTTCATTTGAGGCATTATGGAGGAAATGGCACAAACACAGCAGCAAATGTAGGCTGGAGTGTGGAAGGAATATCACAATCAGAGATAACTACCTGACTGTCATCTACACTGAGGCAATAGCTTAAGCCAAAAAGAAAATTTTAATGTTAGCATGATGGTTAATATTGACTGTCAACTTCATAGGCTCTCGGCTCACTACGAGACTAGCTTCCAGGCACACCTGTGAAGAAGTACCAAGGTTAGCTTCAATGTAGTGGGACTACTCACCCTGCTCAGGAAGCAGCTTTGAGTAGAACGAAATGGACAAAGCACACTGAGCACAAGCACTCATGTCTCCCTGCTTCTTGACTGGGATACGATGTGACTAGCCACCTGAAAGTGACCACCACACCTTCTCTGTCATGATGGCCTTTACCCACACACAGAGCCACAGTAAACCCTTCCTTCTTTCCTTAAGTTCCTTTGTCAAATATAGCCATGGGACAACTAATACAATTAGCAATACAGAAATTAGTAAGAGTTTAAAGCCATTGAGTGTCTAATGCTCTTTTCTGAGCATTTCATGAATCATTTCATTTAAATCTTCCAAAATCTTTAGAAAACAGTAAGTCCTAGTTCTATCTCCGCTCTACAGAAGATAGCAACACAGGATACTAGAGATTAAATAATGTGTTCAAGGTAATGTAGCTGAAAGCTAACCAGTTGGAATCCGAACCCAAGCCTTCTGACTCTAAATCCTACCTGAACTACTGTTTTGCTACCCTGAGTAAAACAACAAAGGGAGAGGTCCTTACTGAACAAAATAAGAAAGAAGTACAATAAGGAGAAGGGACAGAAAATTAAGATGAAAAAAGCTTTCATCAGACAAAGAAGAGGCAAGGCTTCACAATACATTTTAAAAATAAGTCTGTAAATCACTGTGTCAATCACAAATACATACACATACACACACACACACACACACACACACACACACACACACACGCACAATGATAAATTATTAAAAATCAGTCATGAAATAGTCATCAAGCCATCCCCAATTGGGGAAGTCTTATGTTATACCCTTAACTAGACTATGAAGATAATGTCCCAGAGATGGAGGAATTATTTTATCTGTGAGCCTGAGATAGGTCTAGAAACATAGCACAGCAGAGTGACCATACTTCTTTTGAGATGTTACTTACATGACACTGAAATCTGCAATTGTTGTGAGGCTCACAGTTTGGTAAGGGGCCATTTGGAACCATGTTGTAATGGTGTCAATGAAAATGATCTCCATAGTTTCATTATTGGATGTTTAGTCACCAAAGAGTGAAACTATTCGAGAAGGATTAGAAGATGTGACCTTACATGAATGACCTTTGGGAGCCCATTCCACATGGATGGATGCTCTCTCAGCCTGGACACATGGGGAAGGGCCTAGGTCCTACCCTGGATGAAATGATAGACTCTGGAGATCCTCCCAAGGAGAGCCGTGCCCTCCCTAGGGAATGATGTGGGGATTGGGCTGGGGGTGGGGAGGTGAGGGTGGGTCTGGTGGAGGGAGAAGGGGATGCTGGGATTGACATTTGAAGCATGCATGTTTCTAATTTAAATTTTAAAAACTTTAAATTTAAATACTTTAAAAAAAAGATCTGGCCTTGTTAGAATGGGTGTGGCCTTGTTGGAGGACCTGTGTCACTGGGGGTGGACTTTGATGTTTCAAAAGTCCACTCCAGACCCAGTTTCTCTTTCAGCCTGCTCTCTGTGGATCAGGATGTAAATCTCTCAGGTACATGCCTATCTGCTTCCTACCATGCTGACAACGGACTAACCCTCTAAAACTGTAAGCAAGCCCACAACTAAATGCTTTATTTTGTTTTGTAAGAGTTTCTGTAGTCATGATATTTCTTCACAGCAATATAACAGTAAGTTATAATAAGATAGAAGTTGGCACCAGGGACTGCATATTGCTGTGACAGGCCTGAGCACACTATTTGTTGGAGGAAGGTTGAAGACTTTGGGACTTTGAGCTAGAAAAGTAGTTGAATGCTTTAAGCAGGGATTAATGGGCTAACCCTAGTAGTAGCATGGAAGCCAGGGGTGCTAAGGATGTTGTGGACTGTGGGGACCCAGCTTAAGAGATTTCAGAGGGGAAGGATATTATCAGCTGGCCTAGAGACTATTCTTGTGATTTTTGGCAAAGAATGTGGCTGGTTTTTGTTCTTGTCCTAAAAATCTTCTTCAGGCTATATTTGAAGAGTTTAGGATTAATGGCTTTTGTAGAGAAGATTTCAAGACAGCCTAGTATTGACCATGTCAAGTGGCTATTAGTGATCACTCTTAAGCAGATCTACAGTAAAAAGGAACAAGCAAAACAAAGAAAAGTACATAACTTTAGTTTGAGGAAAAGGAGCCAAGCCTTGTGTTCAAGATGAAAACTTTAAAGAAACGCTTTGTGCTCAATGGAACACAGGTAGCGATAACCTCAATGCAAGACCTCACCCAGATAATTCTGCAAACCATGACAGGAAAGTGTCTGAGGATTTCCTAGGCCGAAACAACAGAAATCTAATGCAAATGTAATTCTAGGATACCCAGGTTCCAGCCCCAACATGCAACAGAACCTAGCAGCTTCTGCCACACGGTTCTGGATTTAGAGTCAAGAAGGATATAGGAACTGGCCTGTGAAATCTTCCTCCAATGTTAAGAAAAGTCATTGGAGCCAGGCATATGGTAGGGCAGTCCCTGCCTGGAGGCCCAGAGAAGAGACTGCATGAAGCAGCAAAAGTAAAGCCTGGATTACCTTGGAGACCCCAAGATGTTGAAGATGCCAAAGCCATGAGATACTGCCAAGAACAACTGCTCAGAGAAGGTGGAACCAGCCCAAGAGAGATTTGTGTGTTGCAGTCATCAAAGCTGGAAGGGAAGAGCCATCTAATAAATCCTTTAATATTAGACATGGAGTTGCAGAATTTGGAATTTTCCCTGCTGATTTTCAGTCTTGCTTGGTCCAATATTTCCTCATTATGCTCCTTTTCCTCCCTTGTTTGATTATGAATATCCTATTAAAAGTAAAATTTGTCAAGAATTAACAACAAAATTTTGCTTGTTTGCATATGGGTGCTTTGACTATGTATATGTCTGTACCATCTTTGCATGCTTGGAGCCTGAGAAGGTCAGAAAAGGCATCAGATGCCCTTGAATTACTGATGGATTAGAGACACCATGTGGGTGCTGATAACTGAACATGGGTCCTCTTGAACAGAAGCCAGTGTTCTTAATCATTGAGACATCTCTCTGGCTACTTTTATTTTTAATCAAACACTGAAATACTGTTACAGAACAAAATAAAGTAATACAACCTTAGATAATAATTCACATCTAATGAATAATTTTCTCTTTAAAAAGAAAAAAAGGCATACCCAGTATAATACTCTGAAACCAGCTCTCCACTAGTGCCTACTGTCCCAGGACCAACAACTCCTAACTAGTCACTACTGACAAGACAACCTCTGCCTTTGGTGGCAACAAATGCTGAGTGAAGCCTCTGATGTGAAGTATAAGCCTTGGTAGAAGAGCTCAAGAAGTGGCTAATGTTCCTAGGATAATTGCTAAAACTACTGCTGGGATAGCCAGACAAATGAGAGTAAAATCAAGTTCATCTCCTATATCTCTTCCATTTTAGAGTCAAGTTTCCCATGGTTCTCCAGGTAACTGAGTAGCAGTAGAATGACATGGTGATGCTTAGAAACAGAATAAGCTACTGAGGGATGAACAGATGCCTCAAGCTTCATCAGACAGAATAGAAGGCTTCCTGTGGCTCCCACCATTCCTCGGCACACTGCTGGCAATAAAAGGAACCGTTTCAGTCCTCCTAGATATCTTCTACGTCAGACAAACTTAAACTTGGTATTTACCAAGAAAATCCTGCACACCCAACCCAACACTCCTGGACTACTTAGTTAACTAAAATACTTGAAAAGCTCAGTGGTATCTGAAAATAGACATTCTGCATTGACAGGTTATATATGTTCACAGGGCCCTCTGTGTAAGCCTCTCCATTCCCAGTAAAATGCTCAGGGTACCTGATAGGTCACCCGATGAAACTCCTTTGAAATAAAGTGAAGTTCAAGCTCCTGATGCTATTAATTGAATCACTAATAATAGTTAGTCCCAGATCCAACAAAAACCCTACACTTTTAAAGTCCACCCTCTCGTAAATGTGAAGTTTTTATCTTTAAAATATCAAGGACTCAGAAAAGTACTTGCCCTCTCCATGATTAAATGTAGAGTTAAAAGTGCCATCCTAAATCTTGAAATTAGTTTCACCAGTCTATGTACCATGCCCCCACAAAGACCCAAAAACCGTTTTTGCATGCAGGCTTTTTATTGGTTTTTAAACCTAGTAAATAATAAATCTCTTGGCAGAATGAGATGAGAACAAAGTTCCTTTTCAATATGATAATGTCAAGATGGCAGATGTTGGCACAGCCCAGACTCGGAAGTGGCCAGCAGCCTGATTAGACCAGATGCTGCTTCCCAGAGTGAGCCTGGTGGCGATGCACACGTGCCACCCAACTGTTCATCGCGTCTGCTTCTGTTTTCATCAGAGTCCTTTTCTACCCTTTCATCTTATCCCTAATGCTCCTTGCTTTGAAATGCATGTGAGGCACAATACAATGAGGAAATCTAACAGCAGTGTCTCAGCGAACACACACGTTAGAGCCCTGAAAGAGCATTTCTTTGGGCATTTCTGAGTCAAACTTCAATAAAGATGAGAAAAAGTTTTTTTTCTAAAGGTTTTCAGAAGTTTCATTATTCTGAAGTGATAGAATTTCAATTTCCCTTTGATACCAAACAGACAAGCCTCCAACAGGTCAGACTTACAAGCCCATCTACACCTCCAATGTCTAATTTCAGACCAGAGAGAAATGTCGCACTCCTTGAAAAAGTGGAAAGTTTGGATGCCAAGGTAAATTATTCTTTACAAGGTAAAGGACATGTTGATTACACCTTACACGTAAAAGTGATTATTTGGGGAGAGTTCATTTTTGAGGGGAACTCCTTAAGAAATTCAAATTCTTCTATGCAAAAGCCAGAGCAGTGTCTGTGTATGGAAAAGCATTTCCACAAATCAGCACAACCAGTGTCAGAATCGAAGACCAAGTCCTGGCAGCCACCTTGAAGTATCCATTCTTCTGTAATGTGGCCACCAGCAATATAAATCAAGTGCATTTTCTCAGTCACAACAAGATACTGAACACACTGCTGGAAGGAAAGAAAAACCCAAGTGGGGAATGTTCTGTGCAACCCTAGGCAGCTGCAAACAACCTTCTGCAAAGAGAACAGGGATAAGCAATCAAGCCTGTAACAAGGCCGGGTACTCTGAAAGTCTGCGGTGATTTTCACGTTACATTTGAGTCCAAGGCAATGTTCCTCTGGACGATAACATTGTCTCTTGATCTGTCCGTGCAAACTCCTCCATAACACGGCTTCTGCTCGCACACTCTTCTTCATGTCTGGCCTCCCCTGGAGCCATAGTCGTTAGGATTAAATAAGCAATTTAAAAACCAATCAATCATTAAATCAGAATAAATCCAAGGAAGCACATTTCATCACACGAGTGTTTTGTTTAAATTCCCTTTGCAGTGCTCTGAATTCCAACCGTTTTATGTTCTCCATCTGAAAGGGCACAAGAAGAAGAGGATTGCCATAGCCTGGCCAGTCAGGAATAATTGTACTTTCCCCGAGGCTGGGTGATAATTGACTCATTAGTCACCATCATAGCTATCAATCTGCCAAGGCACAAACGTGCAAGCCAGGCCTGGGGAAAATAAATACATATATATGTCGAAAGCCCCAGATGAGGGACACCACAGCACTAAGATGGAATTTTTGAAACATCCAGTGTTATGCTCTTAGAGAAAGGAAAATGTGGAGAGTGTAAGTTTACTAAAATTTTATTATTTATGTTCAAGAAAGAAATCTGATTAGTAGGATCCTAAAGCTTAAGTCCAAAAGTGGCACTCTGGGCATCAAGTATGTACACGATAAGAAAGACAACTAAGGCACAGTCCCTGCTCTTAACTGAGTAGCCAAGCTGGGAGGTTAAGTCACGAATGCAAAGCACCCAGAGAGAAGGCATCTGTGACAAACCACACAGGAGAGGTACAAATGGTAACTGGCTTTTGAAATCATAAAAAGCTTCCCTAGAAATCAGTCATGTGAGGTGGGCTTTGGAAGAAGTTGACAAGTTCAGTCAGCCTGTTTATTCCATGGGGGGTTGGGAGGTGGTAAGCTCATAAGTGAAACTTTCAGGGCCAGAAGGCCAGGGCCTGAGGAGGAACCATGAATCTTCCAGGAAGACTGGCATACACGTTCTGTGACATGTGAGCAGGGTATACTTGGAGAGCTCAAATAAAACCCTCTCTTGAATAAGGGAGTTGGTCACAGTCCAGCTGTGCTCCACAGAGAGACACAGTAGAGCAGGCAGGCGAGGTCCTGGAGGCTGGAGACTCATGTGACAGGTGAGGTACACCCTGAATTGTCTGCTGGGTAACACAGGTGAGAAATGAAAGAAGCCGCATAGTGAGTTCTTTTTGTGTTTCTAAAACAGAAAAAAGACACTGTCTCCCATGGTTATGTTCCCCCCATCTAGACATCACAGACCATGTTCCTTATCTTCCCACTGTCATCAGCACCAGTCTTTTATATTCAAATTAGCGCGTCCTCAGTAGCTTTCTCTTAGTCTTTGTGATGGAAGACGTAGATAATACAATGTGCTTGCAACCTGTCAGGTGAACCAGAATCTGGTGCAGAGGCCACATACACCCACCTGACAAGCTGAGCTGAGCTGTTCTTCTCAACTGATTTAGTCAGGATCACAGAGTAACTCGGCCCACCATGCAAGCAGATCCAGCATTATTTGAATGTTGCTTCTGGAAGCATTGGTCTCCCTCAGGGTGAAAGCTGCTGGTCACAGGGTCTACCGATGACAGTGTCTACAGAAGGTAGACTCCATGGTATCTGAGAAATTCATTTGTTGTACACACAATCCATTTGTATTGTTTCTTCAGGTTAACACACAAAGTGTTAAGTTCCATTCAGGCACTGTCCTATTTATATGAAACTACTAACTAATGTGTAACTTATCCCCTTGTATGGAATGTTCATACACATGTTAGACTCTTCTGGCTCTTGAGCTAAACCCATGATGTCATACGGTGAAGAGCTCAGAGAAGTACTCCAAGTGTTCATGAGAAACATCTGCGCCTCTCCATAGCGTTATCCAGATGTAACTTATGTTATGTACCATCAAGTCCACTCACTTTAGCACAGTATCCAATGATTTCTAGTAAACATATAGACATGTAACAATTACTGCCATTTAAGTTTTAGTTTCTATTACCCCCAAAAAGGTGCCTAGTGTCAATCTGCACTCTTCCCCCATTACCAACCCCAACAACAGGCAGCAGTTCATATACTTTTGTTGCTGATGGTTCAAATTTACCAGACATTCCATTAAAGTCACATACACATACTTCTTTTATTTAGTATAACAATGAGATGCAACCATGCCATGGTATATACTAGTATGTCTTCTACTGTCTTTGTTGATATTCTGGCATTATGCTGACCCGGCCCCCTGACAAGTGGCAGGGTACACACACCAGCAATCAGGCAGATACTTAGACAGCTCAAAGAGCCCTGTGTTGCTTGGCTATGTCATGTGTTACGTAGCTGCAAAAGGACTCTGTAAACATGTGCAAGCTTTCTCTTCTAAGCAAGTGCCTCCCACCTGTTCACCCCTTCCATTTCTGTTCCCAGTTGGCCAACACCTACCCCTCCCTTTGTTTCCTTTCCCAGTAAACTCCACATGAGTTTTGTTGAGTTTTGTGGTTCGTGTTTCATCACCTGCAGCTGCAGTAAACAACAGTCTTGTTTCTCCCTTCACCTAATAATGGACACTGGGATTGTCTCTACATCTTGTACTCCCTTGATTATGATCCTGCATTTGCCCCATGGACCAGCATTTCTAGTCCAGATCCATGCAGTGTGAAACATAATGAAATCAAACCAACAGACAACTACAGTC